TTCTGAGCACAGTTTTCTTTAACATTAGAGCCAGCTTTTTCTAGATTATGCAGCTCGTCTGGGAGTTTGAACTTCCTACTATGGAATTGGACATCTGCCATTTGGGCTGAATTTATTTTCACCAAATTCATGTGCCGACCCCTTGATCTTGGACTTTCAGCTTCCAGAACTGAGAGAGAATAAAATTCTATGTATAAGACCCCCCCCCCTTCCAGTCTATGGCATTTTATTATAGTAGTCCTAACTAACTAGCAAACTAAGATACCTCCTCAAATAGTTTTCCAAATGTCACAAGGTAACATCTATAAAATAAGTCTTTTTCTTAATTTTTCATTTTTAATCAGAAACCAGCAAACCCCAGAGTTTACCAGTGCTTTAATGTGCCACAAACTAGTCCTTCAGTAGCAGGCCCATGCGGCCCACATGTCCTTCCTCTGTTTGGCTGTCCCTGTGGCCACATGCTGCCCACAAAGCCGCAGAAGGAGCTCCAGCACTGGGGCGGTGGACAGTGCCCTCTGTGAGTACTAGGATGCTGCTGTTTCCCAGTTTTCAAAAGTTGCTGCTATTTTGGGGGGTGACAGAGGAGTGAGTTCTGTGCAGGGGGTGGGGGGAGAATGGACCCTTTCTCTAATCTGTGCCACACTTTGTCATGTTGGCCCCAAAGCAGCTCTATGTTCAGCGTCTCCTAAAATTTCTTTTAAAGACATTTTTATCAGCCTCTCGTGCTCACTACTGACTCAGTCTCCGGGCTCAAGTTCAATCCAAGTGGTGGTGTGGAAGTTCACTCTGCCTCATGCCTTCTGTTGATCCCTTTGAGACCCAAACTTCCAACCACACTTTCCATCCTCCCCCAAATATCAGTGAATGTGAGAGTCCCGGCTCAACCAACCTGACTCTTATAACTAAAGTGTGAATCATTACAAGGTAGTTAGTAGTGTGGGAAGCAGGAATAGGATTTTATTTTTAAGTTATCTCTAAGGCATGGATAAATTTAATATTAATTATTTAGTGGGATTTTTTTCAGTTTAGAACTCAAATCTTTCTTTGTGCTGTAAAGGAGAAGAGAAATGCTTAGTAATAATATACATGATGCAACAGGACTAGTTCTTACCATACAGAGCAACATACAAGCACTTTAACGGCCTACCTTTACAGTTTTAATTTCACAACGGCATACTTGAACATATTTCCCCATACATGCATGCCTAATACTTCTTAAATTCCAATGATTCATTGTGTCATACCTGAATCATTAGTTAAGACTTGAACTATCATGCCAACATATTTTTAAACATTAAAAAAAATAAAAAAGAACCCAGAAGGCAGAAAAAATCCCAAAGAAAAAAGTATTGAGGATTTTTAAATTTTTAAGTAAAATTTAAGGGGGAAAAGGGACATATTAAAAAAAACCCACCATGATAATACTTTATCAATTTAATAGATGCAGCTCAGAAACAAATGTTAACATAAAGGGTTTTCAGACCTTCCCCTGAATTTTCACAAAAGATCACAACTTATAAAGGTCCACCCTCCCCACTCTTTGCCCCACCCTGCGTTTTGCTCTTATTCTCCCAAAATGATTTTGGCTGATAGTTTATTCTCTACTGCTGGATTATTTAAAAAGCACAAAGAAACATTTAAACTAAAGCTGGCGATGGATTATTGACTCTAACCTTAGCAAGAATGCATGATCTCTGTTTGTTACCAAACATTACAGGAAGTTTACGGCCACCACAAAAGATTATTTGGTTCTCCTTGTTTATAATGACTATGAAAAGATAATAGTAAGCAGAAACTTTTGCAGTTATTGATACTGACCGCAAACACAGAAAAGACAAAAGATGTGTTTGTAAGGCCCTACTCAACAGACAAAATTTCTTCAGAATTCATTGCATTTTCACTTAGAATTTTCAATCACAAAATATCTCAGTGGGGGAAAATAAAATGAGTTACAAACCCAGAAGAGTGTATCTAACTTCATTTTACGTGCACACCAAAATCTCACACTGAAATGTTTTTAAAGTCCACGTGGAGCTGCGTCCTCCCAGGTCAAGTTCCCCTTTTCCAGCGGCAGCGCGGTGGCCCAGCCTGGGGTGTTGCTGTCCACTCTTGGGTGACGCTAGGCACTTGCCATGCAGCGTTCCCCAAGATCCTGTCTCCTTTCTAACCCTCCTTCTCTTTGTACCCCCACCCCCAGTCTAATCTTACTGTCATTTCCTCCATCTGTCCCCAGGCCCTACACTAACCACTTCCTCCCCCACCACTAGACCAGGGTGGCACTTTTTGCCACTCACTCCTCTGTGTTGTGTTTAATAGTATCATTTTACTTTCATTTTGAGATAACTTCAAACTAGACAAGAGTTGCAATGATTGTACAAAGAACGCCCATGTACCCTTCACCCATCATACACCAATTGTAAAGTCATTTGGCACGTTTGCTTTATATCTCCCTTCTTCCCATTCTCTCTTTTACACACACACACACACACACACACACACACACACACACACACTTTTTTCCATAATAATTTGAGATTTATTTGTAGAAATCATACTCCTTTATCCTCAAATACTTCAGATCTTACATAAGTATGTTTTCTTACCTAATTATCAAATTCAGAAAATTTGACGCTGATATAATACTATTACTTACCACATGGTCCACATGAAAAGTTTGCATTTGTCCCAATAATAGTCTTCATGGCAATCTCTCCCTTTCCTTCCCACCTCCAGGATCACACTTAGTTGTGGCATCTTTGTAATTGTCTTTAAACTTTGTCTACCATGACATCTTCACTTCTGAAGATTACAGGGCAGTTGTTTTGTAAATGTCTCTCAATTTGGGTTTGTCTGATGACTGCATTCAGGGTATGCCTTTTTCACATAATTAGAACTTCAGGCTTGCATAGGCTATTTTTACCACAAAGCAAAAGTTGAATTTAAAGGTCATCACACCCTCCCCACAGACTCCCATTGCTTCAAAAGTGGCTAATCCCACCTGTATGCTAAGAGGAACGAATTTGATAAACTAGCTCACTTTGAGGTATTAGTACTGAAGGCTATACCTGAGTCCGTAAACCTGCTAGGCATCACTGTATGTTAAGAGAAAAATCTATTAACCCAGAGGATGCAATTTCTCAAAAAAGTCACAAGAGTATGCTTGTACTTGCAGGTGTGGGCCTGCTTTCTATATACATGTTCAAGGGTGAGAAGCATTGCAATTTTACCTGGTTATTTTACAAAAGGCCCTCTCTATGAAACACTTCAGCAGTTGTCTGCTTTCTGTAATAGATGCAATAACTGACTAATGAAGCTGTTAATCTGTCTTTACTTTGTCTAAGTTTTCCTAGTGATTAATATCACGTAGCAAGGCCTTCAGGGACTCAGTTCAGAGCAGTTAACGTTTGGATTGCACAATTTCTAATGTTTGGGAGAGAAAGCGCAGTCAAAGGCCAGGCTGGTTGGACAGTGGGAGTTCCGGCAAGAGCACTGAGTGCCAGGAGAGTGGTGAGCGGGGAGCAGTGATACAAGAGGGGGTCCTGAGAGGGAGGGGAGGTCACAGACAAATCTTTCTCTGTCTTCAATTTGCCCAAGGTTGGCTCGTTTCTGCTTATGCCCACTAACCAAAGAGAGAGAAAAAAAGAGATGAAGGTTATTAACAAAATACAGAATTTCTTAATGAGGATTTCAAGTATAGATTTTATTTAAGCCTGACATTTTGAAGCAAATATCTGTTCTTATAATGAAAATTTGTTATAAAGTGAGTAAAGGAAATAGTTGTGTGTGTCCCCCCCCCCCCGCACCCCCCTCTTATCTTTAATACAGCAAGGAAGCAAAGCAATCTCTTTCCATTTCCCAGGCAACGTTCCCAGCAACCTCACATCTTTATGTTCTTTCTTTTCTTTGTAGAAGCAGCAGCACCAGCAGCAACTTTCGCACATAGTTCTTGGGAGGAAGAGGTATAAGATACAGACCACATGTACAAAACTAGTTCCTATGTTACAGGCAAGATGAGCGGCACAAACGGGAGTTGGTATGTTACGGAATGGCTAAAGAAATAACCAATGGATGTCATCCGTGGGATGGGCGACTTATATTGCACCCTCGAAATACAGGCTTCCTGTAGAGGAGTAAACTTAGGTCTGTGGAGTCCTAGAGTTGGGAGACCATTCATGTCACCTTAATCAGACTTTGAGCCCAGACCACATTGAAAGTTTTAGGGGAAGTATATCATTTAAGCTGGTATCTATATGATGCCAATGCGAGAAAGTGAGATACTTATCATGCTCATTTGCTTAAAAAGTTAACATTAAAATACATTTAGATATTACAATTAAAAAGAGTTCTGGGGTTAGGTAATTCAGTTTATGATAGCTTTAAAAGTATTATCTATAGTCAGATGACCTATAATTTAGTTTAATCTTTAAAATTGTTGTTGTTAGGAAACTGATTGGATCTTGAAAGTTGTCATCACAAGGAAAAATAAATTTGTGATTATGGATGGTGTCAATGTTAACTGGACTTATTGTGGTGACCATTTTGCAATATATACAAATATTGAATTCTTATGTGATGTTTTGCCAATTGTACCTCAATAAAAATATAGTAAATGAATAAATAACCACTAGTTACATCCCTGCCAACACGCTTTAAATAAAGCTTTCAGTTTTCCATAATTTCTTTTAAAGTTCACTTGGTAAATGCACCTTGCTCATAAGTCTTCCAGTGAGTATAAAAGGGCTTCATTAATGTCTTCATTTGATCTATAGCAATCTTGATTTATTGAATTCTCCTCGCTCTAATTTAGAAGATGGAGCTGATTCTTCTGGCATCTCAGTATGGACAGGAATGACCAGAACCTCTCATTTTAGGGTTTTATTTGCACAAATATTTGTGGTTGTAAAAAGCTGGGGATAAGAATAATGTGGTTATTGCTCCTATTTTGCAAACTTGAATGACCTATGCACCAGTGTCTTCACTGCTGGCAAGGAGAACAATTTCTAGTCAGTGGTGTTTAAGATAAGTTTCCAATTCAGCAATTTTAGTTGGAAAAAGAAAACAGAACTATTTTTATAGTCTTTTCTGAGGTATTGACCTCCTCTGTCTGAGCAGGTTTGGGGCTTCTCTCTTCCCTCTTCTTTCCTCGGATGAGCTTCCTCTCCGGAGTCTTCTTCTGGGGAAATAGTTATAATATGGTCTAAGACGATTGTTCGGCCAAAAATATGGACGGTACTGAAAACGGTGGTTGCACCTCGGAGGGAGGAAAGGTCTGTTTGGAAACCTAATTTGGACTCTGGGCCTCCGTGTTGGGAAAAAATGGAAAGGACACTTGGGTGTCCTTGTGATGGGCTGGATCGGTGTCACCGGCCTCCTTGTGGGAGGTGGAGGGGTGAGTGTGAAGATCTGGCAGTCTGTAGGGTCCCCAGTTTGTGAGCCTCTGGGAGGAGTGACTACTTGTCCTGTGGGGAGAAAAATGCAAGTCAGGAAGCAGGCCTGATAACAGCAGCAGAAGGGAGATGCTTGAGGGGTGACAGGAGAGCGAGATTAGAAGGGAGAAATGGAGAGGTCTGAGTGCGTTTGGAAGAACTGCCAATGTTCAGTGAAATGAAACATGGACACACCTTATGATCCCACAGTTGCACTCTGGGGAATTTACCAAGAGAAATGAGTGTGTATGTCTACAAAAGACTAGGTCAAGAGGGTTCATAGCAGCCGCATTCATATTAGCCTAAACTTGGATACAACACAAAGGTCCATCAATCGGAGAATGTATAAACAGACTGTAGATATTCTTACAATGAAATAGAACTCAGCAATGAAAAGGAAGAATTACTAATACAACAATATGGATGCATCCCACGGATGTTATGTTGAGCAAAAGATTCCATTTGTATCAAGTTCAAGAACAAGCTATACTAATCTATGGTTTTAAAAAATGTAAAAAAAAAACAAACCAGTTAGCTTAGGGTTGAGGTAGGTATTATTTAGTGGAAAAAGTAACCAGGGAACTCTTTAGATTTTGATCTTGGTGGTTGTTACATAGATATGGAGATAAAGATTTTATGTATATATATCTATATACACACACACATACACACCCACATACACTTATGTATACATATCTACACACATGTTTATACACACATACATGTATGTATGTGTGAAATGTGATCAATCTATACTTTTAAGATTTGTGCATTTACAATCAGAGAAAGACAAATACATGATTTCACAAGTGGAATCTAATGAACAAACTAAACTAACAAGCAAAATAGAAACAGACTCAGATACAGAGAACAGACTGACAGCTCTCAGGGGGGTGGGGGATTAGGGGCTGGGTGAAAAAGGTGAAGGGATTAAGCAAAACAACAACAAAAAACCCCTCATAGACAGACCACAGTATGATAACTACCAGAGGGAAAGAGGGGATGGGCAGGAGAGGGTAAAGGGGGGAAAAATGGTGATGGAAGATGTGACTTGGGGTGGTGAACATACAATACAATATACGGATGATGTATTATAGAATTCTACCCCTGAAACCAATGTAATTGTATTAACAAATGTCACCCCAATAAATTCAATTAGAAAAGATTTATACATTTTATTGTATATAAATTATAACTAAATAAAGAAAATTAGTTGAAAAACAGAACTCAGTGTTAAGAAAATAAAAATAACTGCCCTTCACCCCCAACAGGCCATTCACCCAAAGGCCTGCTTCACTTGCCCCAGCAGTGAAATCATTCCCCAAGGAGGAGGCAGGGAGCCTCTGCACACAGCAGGGGAATGAGCACTGAGGACCAGGGCAACATTCGTTTCTGAGAAGAAATTTGGATGAAGCTCAAGTGTCCAGGTCTTCCCTCTAGCTGTATCATCTACTTGAAAGTAAGCTTCCCTTTAGAAAATTATTCCTTCACTCCCCTAGCGACTTACCAATGTAGACCCGGAAAGGACTGCTGAGTGTGAATGATGGGAAATTGAGCTCCCCACAGGAAGTTGGGAGTACTGAGGCCCTTAAAAAGAGCTAGATACCCCTCACCGTTAGAACAACTGAATTCAGGTTTCTTGGTTGTATTGGATATGCTTATTGCCTGCCTGTGCTCATAGTCCTTCTCAGAGATTCTGTTTCACCCACAACCCCTGGAAAGGTCAACTCTGTACACTTTTGGCTATGGCTGATTGGACTGCTGTTAGACACTTAACTCATTCATTGCTTGGCCAGTGACCAATCAGATTCTCACTTGAGAATTTCAACAGAGACACAGTTAGTGGAAGGTGTAAGACAGGAGCTGGATTAGGTTTTGGTCAGTTGAATGTTGAGTAAGCGGAGAAGCCCGTCTTTCCATAGAAACTATAAAATGGGGAAGGCCTCTCAAAGAGAAAAAGAGACAAGAGACCATGTGGTAATGGAGTGATGATGAAAGTAGCCTTGATTCCTGACTTTCCAGGGCTGGTCTGACTGAGGGCTGGTTGTACGTAGGGTCTTAGAAGATATTCTTATAATAACCACTCCACTTCCAGTTCTACTCTTTTTTACAGCTAGCTTGAATTGGTGTCTATTCCTTGAGGGAAATACTGACCCTTTCTTCCAGACCCATCTAGGCTACTGAGTATTGAAATTCTATGACTGAAACTAGATTAAAATATTTCAAACTACAGAAGATGATTAAATCCCACATTACTCATTCTTTCCTCATACACAATTAGATCAGTTCTGAACCTTTTGTAACATAAAAATCTGCTGAGATTCCAGTTGCTAGAGGAGAAGCTAGCCTTACTCTTAATCCCCATCTTGACACTTTGCTGTCAGATCAGGTTTAGACAGACCTTGAGCTCTGTCACTCAGTGAGCTGCATTCCAGTTGTACAAACCAACCAACCGTCCGAGCAACCCACCCCTGTGCTCATCTCGTTTCTTAAAACCTGAAGCTACTCTCCAAATCCCCAGCTGACAGTGGGTGTTAGAGCCTGAGAGGCAGCTTTTTTTCTGACTCTGGGATGTCCTGAGGTGTTCAGTGTTTTCTTCCGGGAATTTCTGTGAGCTCAAGATCAAGGTACAAGTTTGTCCCATTAACCAACCTAAGAATGTGGGCAAGCCCACATAAAACCACATTCTTCCAGCAGACTAGACACATGGTGACTATTTCAGGTCACTGGTTGGCTAGCACAAGTGCTCTAAAATGGGGAAGCCACAGGGATTGATTTGGGGACTGTCACAGATTCTTTACAAGGTTAAGGCCAAACATCTGAGTGAGGGGGTGATGCCATTCATGGTCTCCAACTTTGACTGAGTTAATATTGCTCATTAATTCTTTTTTTTTTAAATGCTATCTTTATTTTTTTAAACATTTTTATTGATTTCAGAGAGGAAGGGAGAGGGGAAGAGAGAGATAGAAACATCAATGATGAGAGAGAATCATTGACCAGCTACCTCCTGCACGCCCCCTACTGGGGGTTGAGCCCACAACCCAGGCATGTGCCCTTCACTGGGATCAAAGCTGGGACCCTTCAGTCCACAGGCTGACACTCTATCCACTGAGCCAAACTAGCTAGGGCTCATTAGTTCTTTTGTTTATCCTTGTTCTGCTCAATTCCCACTGTCTTCAAAACCTTTAATGTGCTCCTCAAAGCTGCTTCAAAATACCCATTCTTCTTCCTTTACCTGAAGAATTCTCTTCTAAAGTCTCTCTACCTTTCTAAGTAATTTACTTAGCTTAATACTTCAGAGAGAAATCTTTGGTGATCTGCCATGAAATTCTCTGGTTTCTACTCTCATTGCAAAGAAAAGTCTGCACACTTCTGATTCTGTCGCCCCTCCCCCACCCATTTAAATCCATTGGAATCTGACTGCCTCCTCCACTCCACAAAGGCTACTTTGGCAAAAGTCACCAATGATTATGGGCTTTAAAAATGTTGGTTCCAGATGCTTAGAGCACCATTTCCTGCCATCTTTGCTTGGCTTACTTCTATGCAGATTTCATATCTCATTTCTTCAGGGAGGCCTTAATCCTGAGGCTGTGTTAAGACAATATGCAGCATGCTTCCATAGCATCCTGTGAGTCCATGATACTCATGAGTCATGTGATTACTCTTCAGAAGTTATATTCCTCCTCCACTGAAATATCCACTTGACCATCCTGTAGACCACATCCTTTGACCTCATCCCCAGCATGGTACCTAGAGTAGAATTGATTGATTTGGAGAAATCTCTTTCTTTTTCTTTTTTAAATATATTTTATTGATTTTTTACAGAGAAGAAGAGAGAGGGATAGAGAGTTAGAAACATCGATGAGAGAGATCGATCAGCTGCCTCCTGCACGCCCTCTACTGGGGTTGTGCCCGCAACCAAGGTGGGAAGGCCAGAGAGGGTTGGGGGCAGAAGGGAGGGGAGTAAGAGATCAACTGAAGGACTTGTATGCATGCATATAAGCATAACTAATGGACATAAGACACTGGGGGGTAAGGGAGGGCAGGGGATTGTCAAGGGCGGGGGGCGGGGGAGGACACATATGTAATACCGTTTGTAATACTTATTATAATATTTTTTTTAAAAAGAATAAAAAAAAAAAAAGGTACATGCCCTTGACTGGAATCGAACCTGGGACCCTTCAGTCCACAGGCTGACGCTCTATCCACTGAGCCAAACCGGTTCAGCGAGAAATCTCTTTTGATAACTGCAAACGTTACCATGTTCCTGTCTCTCAGGGATAATGCAATTGTTACTAAGCAAATAGTTCTCACTATGTAACATACTGACATGCCACCAAAGGCAACGCAATATCAAAGATGAGAGTGCTTCTGCAACCTTATTCAGGCCAAAGTAGGTCAAATACTTAAATGCAGATTAAAAACATTTTGAGAGGCAGAACAGCATAATGTTTAAAAGCATCGGCTCTAGAGCCAGGTGTCCTGAGCTCTGCCATTTAACAACTGCGTGGCCATAGATGGGTTCCTTAACTTCTCTGAGTCTCCTTTTCCTTATTTGTAAAATGGAGAAAATAATACTGCCTATCTCACTGGTTTGTTGTATTGTCTGAAATAAGATGTAAAGTGCTTAGAACATTCCTGATCCACAGTATGCAGTTAGTGGTGTTAGCTACTGTTATGATTAATCAATCTTCAATGCTATGGAAATATTCTGTTAGCAAGAACCCAATTTTCTTGGTTCCATTTGGTTACACTTTATGCATAAAATCTGTGCACTATCGATAGGACTAAAGGGTACAGATCTTATTACAACAGGACCTCCATGAAGACAGGGACTGCTGACTTTGAGGGTCACTGCTATGTCCCTAGCATCTAGAATAGTCCCTGGCTTAGAGTGGTGCCCAGACACATTGCAAATACGTGGATCTGATATAGAATGAATGGCCAGCCAGACATTGAATTTTCTTCTCTATAGATTTTTGTAAAGCTCAGTGAATATTTCATGTCAGTCCTAGAAAATTCACAATAATAACTTACATTTAAAATTAGAGTAAAATAAAAAAATTAAGCCAAAATATTGCTTAGAGTTTAGATATCAATTTTAAGTGGGTTTATTATAGTCTAGACATAAAACTCATAGCATACCAACAACTAGTACTTTCTTTAAAAAAGTAAGGATAAGAAGACTTTTATATAAATATGTAATTACCTGTAGTCTGTGGTTATTTGGGCAGACAATAGTTGTGTTGTAGAGAACTATACGGATTTTAAGAGAAGTAAGCTTCATACTTGATTTGTAAGTACTAGTATGCAGTTCTTCCTTTCCATGACACATGGAGTATTAGAAAAATTCTCACATGCTTTTGGAATTGAACCAGAAAGAAATATAAATCTTGTGATTAATTTACTCACCACTCAACTCAATTTTTGACTTAGTTAACTGCAACTCAGTTCATTGTGTAGACTCACAGAATGACTGGCTATCTTGGTCATATCTCTAATTTTACAGGTAAATAATTTGGAGCCCAGAAAGTGTCATGCAGGCTTATTTCATGTTCAGCAGCACACAGGGTTCCATGCTAGATGCTGTGGTGCATGCAGAGACGATAAAGACCCGGCCTGAGCTCAGGAGAGCCGATGCACTGCAAATACCTGGATTTAATATGGAGCAGAATGCAGGGATGCCATGGGTGATGTACAAGTTACTATAAGTATTATTCTAAGATATCGGAGAGATTGCAATTTTGTCTTAAGAAAGCCTTTGTGAAGGCAGTACCGTAGTGACATTTAAACATTGTCATGAGAAGCAGAATTGCAGTAAACAGGGGGCAGAACAGGAAGAGGGGCAGCCCAGCCTGCCAGGGGGAGGAGAGGAGAGAGTGAGGGTTGTGGAAGTGAGCAATGAGCCGGCACCAGGGTGGCTTGGATAGAGTGACGCTACATTGGATGGACTTTCATGTCCGCCTGAGGGACAGCGGGGAAGTGTGAGTTAAGGTCAGAAATCACATCTCACATTTTAATTGATGTTCTTTTGGTGTGAATAAACCTCTAATCTCATTATAACCAGTTTAGCTACACATTACAAAGTTTCCTGACGACTGGTTCACTTTCTGGAATGAAGGCATGAGGTGGCTAGTTCTGTTTATGGTATTTCTTTTAGATGTCACTTTTAGCAAGTGATGCTTGGGGGCCTTGTCTTAGAAAGAAGTGGGGCAGGGGTTATTTGTAATCTCTGTTTCCTGCCCTCGGATCACCGGAGTTCATGCAGAGATTGGACAGGGTGAGCTCTGGTGGTCTCTCCACCAGCTCCAAGGTCTCTGCCCCTCTCTGCTCTGCTGTGAGCGTTGGGGGATGGAAGCAGGGAACGTGTTGGAGGCTGACTAGCTTCTGGCTAGGCCCCTGCAAAGCCCCAGGGGCATGTGAAGGGGAGAAAGATTCAGTGTGACTCCTGGGTCTCTACTCCCTGAACCATAGTTAGTTCTGGAGCGAAGGGAAACGGTCCTCAGACCCAGGTCTCCCAGTTTCTTCTTCCTCTCTTTTCCCTCTCTTCTCCTCTTTTTATCTTTTCCTTTCATTTCCCCAGAGGTTTGTAAACCAAATCTAAGGCTCAGGCCACTTGGAAATTTCATAGTGGAGGAAAGGAAAAAGAAAAGGAACAGTGGAGAGATGGAATCTAATATAATCCTAAAGAAAGAAATCTATGCTCATCTGAATGGCACCAAAACACAGCTAAATAGATGTGATTAATTAAAGCAACTAACAAACAGAGACTAAACACTCACCGTGTGCAAATTACTGTGCTTCTGGGGACAGAAAGAGGTGTGCATTGCTGTCATTCAGGGCGGCAAATTGTTAGCGTTAGAACCATAGTAAGTAGTAGTAGTAAAGTGTTTTGAACTTGAAGCGCTTTTCTTGCATGATGGCTCACAACCCCCGTAATAATGCATGTCTTTAATCCTGTCACTTCACATGTGAAGAGACTGATAGAGCGGTTAAGTATGTCTAACGTCACAGCGTGAGAACTGAGACTGTGAGTAAAGTCTTCAGATGATAAGGTTCAGCCTGTTCTTCTTTAACCATACAGGCTGGTGGAATCTGACAAACGTTTTCAATTTATGAACATGTATAATCATGGAGCCAATTTTATCTTTTCACACAACTTTCTGATTAGTGGGCCCACAGTGGAATAAACACAAAAACCCCTTACCTTCTGCCACCATTACCACCAACCAGCAGACCAGCAGCCAGCAGGAGAGACAGAGCCTGAGAGCCATGGCTTCTACCTGAGCAGTCGCTACCTTGAACCTAGCATTGGTTTAAAAGGGAGTTGGTGAGTCACCAGCCTGAGTCAGGTAATTTGCATTTGCACAGTGGACCGCAGTGGTCAGGGCCTGCGGAGTGAGGCTAAGAAATCAGCAAGGAAGTACCAGAAAGTATTTATCAACCAGAAGCTTCTTGCAGTGACAGCCAAACATCATTCATTTGTCCTTAGAGTTGGACTGTATTCTTTTAATTCCCTCAAGTCTTCTCCCCCGTTTACTTGTATGTACAAGTCTCCCTCCACAAGAGAAAGACTCTGTGTGGGAAATAGTCAACGCTGCTTCCTTCTGTGGAGCTTACTTACTTAAAAGAGCCAAACAGGACGGGGAGGGCATTATCAAAAGGCTTCCTGACCCCGGCAGTTTGGAGAGGCTGTTCGTAGGCCTCTGACCAGGATTTATGGCTTCTCTGCTTTTGTGCAGGAGCCAAGAGCAGCAATCAGCAAAGTATCTTCTCTGATGGCCACTGTCTAAACAAACACCAGAGTTTGGAGAGATTAACTGAGCGAGTTGTCTTCCAGGCTCTTCCTTATGCACCAAATTGCCAACCAGATGGACATGATACATCTGTACCCAGGTATTTCCTGAGAGAAGGATGGCCAGCTGCTGGAGGAGTGGGATGGGATGGCCACAAGTGATTAAGAGCATGGACCTCCGAGTTACAAAAACCTGGCTCCAATCTTGGTACACAGTCCAACTCTAATTTTCTTAAAAAAAAAGTATTTATTGATTTTTAGAGAGAGGGGAAGGGAGAGGGAGAGAGAGAGAGAGAAACATTGAGGAGAGAGAAACATCGATCAGCTGCCTCCTGCACGACCCCTACTGGGGATCGAGCCCACAACTCGGGCATGTGTCCTGACTGAAAATGGAACTGGTGATCTCTTGCGGCATGGGCTGATGCTCAGCCACTGAGCCACACCAATGGGTCTGTTCTTTTTCCTACCAGCTGGGTAACTTGGGGTGAGTCCCTGGGAGTTGTTGAAGCCTCAGGTGCCTCATCTGTAAAATGGGGCTTGTAGTATTTTTCTCAGAGGATTGTTGTGGAATAAAAGAGTCAATTGACTTAAAACTATTTCAGTGTGTGGCCCGTGAAGTGAGTGGTCGTAGTTATAAAATTATTCTGACTCCAATTTTTTGTTCTCTTAGGAGGTGGTACTTGCCAAGTCATTCAGTTGCTCAAAGGGCCTCCACTTTGAACAGAGCGTTTTCCTGGGCATTACAGAACAGCAACACAGAACACAGACCCTAGCTTCGAAGAGCTGACAATTGAATGAGGAAAACCAGGCAAACAGAGAACCAAAATGAATAAGGCAAAATGGTAAATTCCACAGTCTTGATATAATCCTAGGCAAAATTCTAGAACAGATGATTAAACGGACGATTTGTCAGCAGCTTGGAAAGGAAGCAGGGATCATCCAGACCCAGCTCATTTCCTTTGATTAAGGCACTTCCCACTAGTTCAGCAGGTCTCTGTTGACCACACATGACGTGCCCTAGGTGCTGGGCTAAAGACAGGGTTCCTGCTATCATTGAGCACACAGTCTGGCAGGGACATTAAATATTAACTAAGGAATAATAATAAAGGATCTTGAGGGGTAAGAGAGAGGAAGTACAGGAGGCTATGAAGCAGAGCACAGAATCTGTAATTTTCCATCACTGGGTGTATATTACAGATGCTATTTTGCCCCTGCGTTGGTAACACACTGCCTTGCCAGTAAAATCAGATCCATGTAATCTCTTTATCTACTGCCCAGTGTTCCATTTTATGGATTTATTTTAAATTATTTAACCAAACTTTTAGTTGAAGGACATTTGTATTATTTCTTCTGATCTCCTTTCTTTTCTGTATTGGATTTCTAAATAGCTTCCAATTTACATGTTGATGAAAATAAATGACAGAAGCAAGTGGAATGTTTTTCTCATTTGCATCTATTGCCCTGAAATTTATAAAAGAAAGGAGCAAAACTTTAAAACGAACATTTAAAAATTTTTATTAAATTTTTATTTGACAGAAAATTCTTACTTATTTCTTTGCTGTTGGTGTATAGAGTAACTCTTGCCATATTTTATTTATTTACCTGTTATATATAAAGTGAAACCAAGTGTTCGACAATATATAAACTCAATGAGCTGTTGTGAGATCATTAGGTTAACAAATTAATTTGCAAAAATTTTTAACTCAAAAAAGGAAATATTTCTGAAAGTTTATTTTAAATGTGGTAACTTTGATAAAAGTATCTTTTCAGTCATATACTTTAAAAACCCACAAATCATAACTTTGTCATTTAGTTGAAGATTGATCAGTGAGATGCGAATTTCCATAATCCCAATGTCAAAAAAGCTGCAGTGGCTTTGGGTCACTGTGGTTGGTTCAATGTCTTAAGGGGAAAGGACCATATGGCCGGTTGGTGTTAGGTTTTTCTAACAACAACTTTATGAGGAGGTGATAGAGAACTAACAGTAGTTACACTTCTTTCCCAAAGACTCCGATATTGAGGCTGGGATTCAGAGCTGAGATTTTTCTGGATCCAAAATTTATGTTTTTCTTCTAATTAGATATATTTACTTTGCTTTAAAAAATCCATTCATTCATTCACGAATTCCTTAATGAATCTATATTCTTATTTTAATTGAACTTTGTTTTGTGTCCATGTGGCTTAACAATCTGTAAAGAAAGAAGCTATACCCTACCAGCACCATTTAGAAATGACCCAAGGAGGAGCTCTGGTTGGCTAAGCTTATGGCTGGGGAAGGAAGAGAGGAATCAATACTAGAAGAAGAGAGATAGGGGTAACAGAGACTGGGCCACAGGGGATGTTGGCCAAGGAGCCGACCTGATTTGTGTCTATTACACCCACAGTGTCACGTGACCTTCCCATCCAGGATGTCTCCTTCTCAATCTCCAGTATGTGTCACTTACACAGAATGCCTGTTAACAGGCAAAGGCCAATTGATGTTCCTGTAAAAAACAAAAAAGAACAACTTTTTATTACTAAACTAGAGGCCCGATGCACAAGGATTTGTGCAAGAATAGGCCTTCCTTCCCCTGGCTGCCGGCACTGGCTTCCCTCCGGCACCTGGGACCCAGGCCTTCGATCTGGCCGCTGCCTCCCACCTTGGCTCTGGGCCGGAGCCACCTCCTGCAGGCTCCGTGGCCGCTGCCCAGAGGTCGGCCCTCAGTGGCTGGACAGGGCTTGTGGGAGGCTTGGCTTCCTTTGTCGCTAGGGGGACAAAGGAAGCCAAGCATCCCACCCGAAGGAAGCCAAGTGTCCTGCCTACTCCAGCTGGCTCCGTGGCTCCGGCCAGCGCCACCATCTTTGTGGCTATGGGTGATGCCATCTTTATCGTGGAGTGACAGTTAATTTGCATATTACCCTTTTGTTAGTATAGATGCCTGGGATTGTTACAAATATAGTAATATTTATATTGCTGTTTTTTTGGGGGAAATTGTTGGTGGTGACTGAAGGGTCATGTGATTCAGCCAGCACTTGGCATATGACCTTGTTCCAATGAAATGTCAACCTAGATGAAGCTATTCACTGCTCTCATTCAGTCCAGTATCCGTGTCTAGGTTGCCCTGATGAAAAGCTTCCGATGTCCTGTAGTGACATGTTTCATCACAGAGGGAATGCTAGCCTGTGAAGGCTTTCTGATCATTTTAGAGAAAAGTCCCTCATGTCCTCCTTTCAGGTTTGGAGCCCAGAGAAGCAGGAGCCTGGGACTGGGGAGTGCTGCTTTGTGAATGTGTACTTTGTTTTCATTATTCATTCAACAACTATTTATTTAACTGTGTGCCAGACACTATGCCAGGTGAGCAAAATAGACAAAAAATACCTGTCCTAGTGCATTATCATTCAGTGGGATGGAGACAGAGAGTAAACAATAATTGCAACAAAGGAGTAAATTATATAATATGTTAGGATCTGTGAGAATGTGAGGACATTCTGTAATATGTGCTATGGAAAAATAAAAGATAATCAGGGTAAAAAGTGTGGGTGACCCATTACCCTAAGTAGAAGATAATGTTTGAACAAGGGCTTGAGGGAAGTGGGGAAGTTATTCATGTGACTCTATGGGGGAAGAGTGTTTTGGGCAGAGGGTACAACCAGTGCAAAGGTCCTGAGGCAGGAGTAGGCTTGGCATGTAACATACGACAGCAAAGAGGTGGTTGTAACTGGGCAGAGTGAGTCAAGGGGGACAGTACCAGGATGAGGTCATGGGGTAATGGGTCATTATGTGAAGCCATTGGAGGATTTTGCAGAGGCATGGCATGACCTTACATTTTGAAAGGACAACTCTAGCCACTGTGTGGAGAACAGATTGTTGGGGGCAAGGGTGGAAGCAGGCAGTCCAGTTGTAAGACTACAGCAGTAGTGTAGGGGGAGAGGAGGATGACTCAGATTGGGGTGGTAGCGGCGGAGGTGTGGGGATAGGGAGATTCTGGACATATTTTGAAGGTAGAATTGGCAGGATTTCCTGGTGAATTGGAAGTAGGGTGTGGGAGACACAGGGGAGTCATGGATTACACCAAGATTTTTGGTCTGAGGATTTGACTGCTGTGGTTGGGTGTGGTCAGGTGGTGAGATTATGGTTGAATTTTAAAAATGTTACTATAATATTGCTCTTTCCACCAATAAAAATGGACACTTTAGTGAATAAATACTAACAAACTTTACAACTTGAGACAAGTTATTAGTCTGAGGACCTGTTCCATGGAATTGCAGGACTAGAGAAGTGAGACTGTCATTTCTGGGCAACAAGAGGGAACTGGCTGGCAGGCCGGTTGGTGTTGTGCCAGGAGATTCTTATGTCTAGCGTAGCTTTGCTCACAGGGGACGGAAGGATGAGGTGAGCAGGTGAGCGAGCGCAGGTTCTCCTGACCCATGTGGGCTCTGGGCTCCCTGCTTCCCTGTCTTACCATGGGTGAGCCCCTACATTAACAGTGAGCTTTGGAT